ATGTCCTGGTACCACCAGCCTGAAACCCGCATGTTCCAGGTACACACAGCCTGACCAGACATGTCCTGGTACAACACAGCCTGACCAGACATGTCCTGGTACCACACAGAATGACCAGACATGTCCAGGTACAACACAGCCTGACCAGACATGTCCTGGAACAACACAGAATGACCAGATATGTCCTGGTACAACAAAGCTGACCAGAAATTGTCCTGGTACAACACACCTGACAACGTCCTGGTACAACAAAGCCTGACCAGAATGTCCTGGTACAAAACAGCCTGACCAGACTTCCTGGTACCACACAGCCTGACCAGACATGTCCTGGCACAGTACAGCATGACCAGACATGTCCTGGTACAACACAGCCTGACCAGAACTGTCCTGGTACAACACAGCCTGACCAGACATGTCCTGGTACCACACAGCCTGACCAGACATGTTCTGATACAACTCAGCCTGGCCAGACATGTCCTGGTGCAACACAGCCTGATCAGACATGTCCTGGTACCACACAGCCTGACCAGACATGTCCTGGAACAACACAGAATGACCAGATATGTCCTAGTACAACAAAGCCTGACCAGAAATGTCCTGGTACAACACAGCCTGACCAGACGTCCTGGTACCACACAGCCTGACCAGACATGTCCTGGAACAACACAGAATGACCAGATATGTCCTAGTACAACAAAGCCTGACCAGAAATGTCCTGGTACAACACAGCCTGACCATACGTCCTGGTACCACACAGCCTGACCAGACATGTCCCGGAACAACACAGCCTTACCAGACATATCCTGGTACAACACAGCCTTACCAGACATGTCCTGGTACCACACAGAATGACCAGACATGTCCATGTACAACACAGCCTGACCAGACATGTCCTGGCTCAATACAGCCTGACCAGACATGCCCTGGTACAACACAGCCTGACCAGACCTGTCCTGGTACAACACAGCCTGACCAGACATGTCCTGGTACCACACAGCCTGATCAAACATGTCCTGGTAAAACACAACCTGACCAGACATGTTCTGGTACAACTCAGCCTGACCAGACATGTCCTGGTACCACACAGCCTGATCAGACATGTCGTGGTACAACACAGCCTGGCCAGACATGCCCTGGTACAACACAGCCTGACCAGACATGTCCTGGTACCACACAGCCTGACCAGACATGCCCTGGTACAACACAGCCTGACCAGACATGTCCTGGCACCACACAGCCTAACCAGACATGCCCTGGTACAACACAGCCTGACCAGACATGTCCTGGTACAACACAGCCTGACTAGACATGTCTTGGTACAACAGCCTGAACAGACATGTCCTGGTACAACACATCCTGACCAGACATGCCCTGGTACAACACAGTCTGACCAGTCATGTCATGGTACCACACAGCCTCTCCAGACATGTCCTGGTACAACACAGCCTGACCAGACATGTCCTGGCACCACACAGCCTGACCAGACATGCCCTGGTACAATACAGCCTGACCAGACATGTCCTGGTACCACACAGCCTGATCAGACATGTCCTGGTACAACACAGCCTGACCAGACATGTCCTGGCACCACACAGCCTGAACCGACAAAGCCCTGGTACACACAGCCTTTACCAGACATGTCCTGGTACCACACAGGGCCTGATCAGGACATGTCCTGGTACAACACAGCCTGACCAGACATGTCCTGGTACAACACAGCCTGACCAGACATGTCCTGGTACAACACAGCCTGACCAGACATGTCCTGGTACCAAAACAACCTACCGACGTGTCCTGGTACAACACAGCCTGACCAAAAGTCCTTGGTAAATAGTGACCCGACCTACAGCGCCTAGGAGTGGCCAGACATGTCCTGGTAACAAAGACTCCGGACCTAAGTTACTTGTCAACCAACTTAACCCAAAATAATGGGAAAAATGCCTCGGTGTCATACGCCCAGAATGACATGTTCCTGGGACATTTTTTCTGGTATGATTCAGACATGGTTGCGTGGTATAAACTGGGATGAAACGTCTGGACACGTAAGGAATGCCCGGTACACAGTGAAGACTGTCACTTTGGAGAGACAGTAGACTCTTTAGCCAGTCTGTGTACAACCGTGCGCCATGCGTCATCCCCTCGGTCCCAGCCTACAGAAAATGTCTGGTACAACCAGATGATCCCGACTGTTCTGTACAACTGAAGGTATAACATAGGTAAGAGTTCCTGGACCCACACAACTATGCAAACCACCATAATATCACTGTTACGTGTATCAAACTGTACAAGCAACCTACCACCTGAGACATTCATACTAACCTATCTTACCATAACCAAACTTCACTGGAACAACCAGGCAACATGTTAAACAACAGTCTGACAAAAAGTTGCACCTCTCCTAGGAAGTCCATTGGACGCTGATGAGGGTTGTCTACGGAAGTGGATCTGTGCTAGTGCCCCTGAAATGAGTTTCATACTCACCCCCTTCCATAGACATGTAACTCCCAGGATTTAGCGCTTCCCCCTGATTAGAATATATTTTACCCCAACCTACATGCAATGCAACCACCTCCCGCCAAATTGTACCTTCTTTCAACAACTGGCGTATCCAGAGATGAGTAATTATTACCCGAGTGGTTACAGCCTTGCTCCTGGCATTTTAGTCGCCTCTTACAACACACATGGCTTACGGAGGAAGAATTCTGTTCCACTTCCACCTGGAGACTAATAGTTTCCTCTGGGTCATTTATGAAGTGATATCCAACGTTAACTTCTAAAGTTACCTTCATGTTTCTGTTCCTAATTTCTTTATTTTAAGTTAAGCTAATTTAGGTTAGATTACATAAACCAATTATTATTATAATCATAACGAAGCTCTAAACCCTTAAAGGTCATACAGCGCTGCAGGGTAAAGTATGCCTGATCAGAGACTAGTGAGGGTAGAGTTAGGAAGGCCGGTGAGGAGTGTTAAAACAAATTAAAGTTAAAGTAATAAGTCGTTGTTGACATAAAGTCAGAGAGGGAGTCTGTGTCACAGGTGGGGCCGCATATTACGATATTCATGACGAAGAAGCAAATTCGTGAAGGCTATACAGAGCTTGGAGCATATAATTGTTTCTGTTTTATCCACCAGGAGACAGGACAAGTGCCTCCTGACATCGGTCTTAATATATAGGTGACCCGTAGTTCCTAATTAATTGGAGAATGGGAGGTAATCAGGACTGAACCAGGGATGGTGAAGGTATCTCAAAAAGCCCGTCATAGGTAGCAAAACCACCTTCCTTCCATGACAGTTGACACAAATCACACTTCACAACGCAGGCACAACAAAGTAGCGAGACTGGGAGGAAACCCCCAATTTAAAGGAAGGAAATCAAAAGCTACGATGAAGAAAATGGTAGATAATTTGCATGGAAAGAACATTGTGGAAAATAGCAAAAAGCTGCAGACCGATAGCGCTAACGTCCATATCATAAAATTTTTTGAAAAGGATCTAAGAAGCAAGATCGCCACTCATCTAGATACCCATCAGTTACACAACCCAAGGAACATGGGTTTAGAGCAGGTTGCTCCTGTCTGTCCCAACTACTGGACCACTATGACAAGGTCCTGGATGCTCTAGAAGACAAACAAAACGCAGATGTATACACAGACTTTGCAAAAGCCTTTGGCCTGTGACCATGGTGTAATAGTGCACAAAATACGTGATAAAGGAAAAAGTTGGTAGATGGATCTATAATTTCATAACAAATAGAACAGAAAGAGTAGTAGTAAACAAAGTAAAAACTGAGGCGGCGTCGGTGAAAAGCTCTGTTCCACAAGGCACAGTACTCGCTCCAATCCTGTTCCTCATCCTCATATCTGACATAGACAAGGATGTCAGCCACAGCACCGTGTCTTCCTTTGCAGATGACACCCGAATTTGCTTGACAGTGTCTTCCATTGAAGACACTGCAAGACTCCAGGCGGACATCAACTAAATCTTTAAATGGGCTGCAGAAAACAATATGAAGTTCAACGATGAGAAATTTCAATTACTCCGATATGGAAAATGTGAGGAAATTAGAACTATATCGGATTATAAAACAAATTCCAATCGTATAATAGAGCGAAAAATTAATGTAAAAGACCTGGGAGTGATCATGTCGGAGGGTCTCACCTTCAAGGACCATAACATTGTATCAATCGCATCTGCTAGAAAAATGACAGGATGGATAATGAAAACCTTCAAAACTAGGGATGCTAAACCCATGATGACACTCTTCAAGTCTCGTGTTCTATCTAGGATGGAATATTGCTGCACACTAACAGCACCTTTCAGGGCAGGTGAAATCGCTGACCTAGAAAATGTACAGAGAACCTTCACGGCGCGCATAACGGAGATAAAACATCTAAATTACTGGGAGCGCTTGAAGTTCCTCAACCTGTACTCCCTAGAATGCAGGAGGGAGAGATACATGATTATGTACACTTGGAAAATCCTAGAGGGATTAGTACCAAACTTGCACACGATAATCATTCCCTATGAAAGCAAGACTCAGCAGACGATGCAACATCCCCACAATGAAAAGTAGAGGTGCCACTAGCACGATAAGAGACAACACAATAAGCATCAGGGGCCCAAGACTGTTCAACGGCCTCCCAGCATACATAAGGGGGATTACCCATAGACCCCTGGCTGTCTTCAAGCAGGAACTGGACAGGCACCTGAAGTCAGTACCTGATCATCCGGGCTGTGGTTCGTACGTTGGATTGCGTGTGGCCAATAGTATCATCCTGGTTGATCAGACCCCTGATCCACCATGAGGGGTGGAGCGGTAAGCCAGCGGAAGGCCTTTGTCAGATGACCAAAAGTTCCAGCTGTGGGTCATCATATGACTAAGACCCGCGTCAGGAAACTTCCTGTTTCCTGACTAATATTATATAAGTCGTCATTCCCAAGAATTTACTTTCATAAGGTTTAAAAGTTGTTTTTGGAGTAGTTGAAGAACACCATGGAATATTAATGAGGGAGGACTTATTTATATTTGCATTAAAACTACTGGAAATAGCGCCGTATAGACTTGACAAAGTAATGTAACTCCATGAATCAGTAACTGTCAACATTATGTGATAAAATTAATGAATTCAGAGACAACTTACTCAGATATGTCAAAGTATTTTACTCACTGTAAATAACACATAACCACTTAAACCTTTTTTTATTGCAAGTATACTTTGCTAAAATATTAGGTAATGTTTTTGTAATTTTTTGTGTGACCTAATTAATGTCTCCATAAATAACTCATTATGATTGTAACCAGATATATAGACATGTATGTAGTTCATTACCACTGTAACTTGTTCAGCTGTGAAAACTTTGCAACCCAGTCCTTGGACCCATTAAGTACCTCTTTAATGTTGAGGTACAGTCTCTGGACCCATTATGTGCCTTTTTAATGTTGAGGTACAGTCTCTGGACCCATTATGTGCCTCTTTAATGTTGAGGTACAGTCTCTGGACCCATTATGTGCCTCTTTAATGTTGAGGTACAGTCTCTGGACCCATTATGTGCCTCTTTAATGTTGAGGTACAGTCTCTGGACCCATTATGTGCCTCTTTAATGTTGAGGTACAGTCTCTGGACCCATTATGTGCCTCTTTAATGTTGAGGTACAGTCTCTGGACCCATTATGTGCCTCTTTAATGTTGAGGTACAGTCTCTGTACCCATTATGTACCTTTGTATCTTCTGACTACCCCCCCCCACCATGGGTATGGGTAACACAATAAAGATAATAAACTAACGTAATCCATGTAAGTGCGTCATTATTATAATCACAACAAAGATTGTGTGTATACATTTTGTTCGTCACACATTTCCAGCTAATTCTCATAAATCGTGTATAATATCTTGGATATACACAGATGCATCGGAGTCTATTCGATGCCTCTTATGTTCAATGCTACTCTTAGTTCTCACTGCTGTCTTCCTGTGGCATGAACCTTGTAGTGTCTCCTTGTATGCTTCGTGTTATAACTCCAGGTTGATGTCGGGTGGAGCTTACTTCATATATTTTTTTTAGAAAAAATTAGATACATTACCAGTGTGCTGCTATATAATAATTACAAAGTGGGAACAAAAGATAGCTATGTTTCCCTGTCATATCCCATCACGCAGGATGGGATTCATACAAAGTGTTAAAATCTGTCAGCCTGAGCTGGGAAACTTCAGTAGGGTAATGAGGATATCATCAAGCATTTCAGTAATGGTTTGTACTTCAAGCAGTCTGCCAATCACATCCGTAGTCAAACTGAAGTTTTCCTGATGGAATATGATGTAGCAACTGTCACACAGCCTAGGATAGCAAATACACTGCAGATGCAGTTTTGATAAAAAAAAATCCCTCAAAATAAAATCTTCGCAAATTTGATTCCTTTATTTTTAAACAGTGAAGTTTGCGAGATAAGAGCTCTAATATCCCAGCTCATGTGTTTTAACGTTAAGTTGTACATGATTCTCCAGGAGGTGCACTTCGTAGTGACACGATAACTTGCCTATCAGTTTACTCATATTTCGTCGTCTCGGGCTCAAGAGTGTCATCCTTGAACACTTGGATGTAGGTGGGCGTGTTGACGTTGGCCTTGGCCGAGCTCTGAGAGTCGCTGCTCAGCTCAAGGTCCCGCTTCTTCCTGCAACGAACACCGATGACATTAATAAATACCGTGACTAGAACAATTCAGAACCAACCCTCAATTAGGAAAAGATATTTTAGATAATGTTCCGGTTGTACTCGACTTGGCAGTTTTCACGACGGACAGAAACGTCGTCAACGTGGAATAGTTATTTACATATAAATAAGAACTGCACTCGATACGCCTTAAAGGCGAGTGAACTATGGTTTGATTATTATTATTATTATTATTATAATCATGAGGAAGCGCTAAACTCGTAGGATTATACAGCTCCTGTGGAGGTGGGGGGGAATGGAAGGCATTCAGGCTCAATTTAGGGAACTGAAGAGCAGATCCAATTCCCTGGATCAAGAGCCCCTCATCAAACCATATTTGTATTACTGGAAAGCCTGATCAACCAATAGGAAATATACTTTGAATGGTCTCTTGATATTCTTTTCTCGTGAAACCTCATGAAATCCCGTCAGAAGGTAAATGATATGGCAGATATAATAATACACAAAAGTACTTACTGTGCAGACGGGTAGGGTACTGACGGGTAACCTGAAGCGCCCTCAAAACCTTCAGGGATACTGGTGACCATCGGGTAGCAGATGCAGGTGGCTGGAATGCCGAAGGGAGGAACTGGCTGTTGTGGAGGGGCTGGTTGTCGTGGAGGTATTGGTTGTTGTAGAGGAACTGGTTGTTGCGGAGGGACTGATTGTTGTAGAGGAGCTGATTGCAGAGATGGAAGTTGTTGTTTTGACCACATTTCTTCTGAAGGAACTAAACGCTGAGATGGTATCTGTTCGAGGGGAACTTGTGATTGCATCTCCTCTGATGAAACCGACTGTTGTGGAGGAACTGACTGGCCTGAGAACATCTGGTATGGGGGAACTGACTGTTGTGAGAGCATTTGCTCTGAAGAAACTTGGAACTGCAACTTTTCTGAAGGAACTTGAGGTTGCATTTGTTCTGATGGAGCTTGAAACTGCATCTGTTGGGGAGGAACTTGTTGCAATTGCAGCTGTTCGTAAGGAACTTGCAACTGTTTTTGTTCTGAAAGTATTTGTTGCTGTAACTGCATTTGTTGCTGAGGGAAGTGCGGAGAAACAAGCTGCTTCTGCTGTAAAGGAAACGGTTGTTGATACCGCATCTGATCTGGAGGAACTTCGATGTTTGGTCTGTAGCGGCGCACTTGTAGGGGGGCCTCCAGCTCCTGGTCCCTCAAGGAAAAGTCCTGCATGGAGAACTCGTGCAGCGGCTGATCTACTGCCTTACACACCGCCCAGATCGTCGCACACACTACAGCACCTAGAAGAAAGTCACCTTCACTATCAAAACAGTCCCAGGAATGCTAACCATCTACACTGTTAACTACACTGTCTGCTATACTAACCATCTACAATGTTAACTACACTGCCTACTATACTAACCATCTACACTGTTAACTACACTGCCTGCTATACTAACCATCTACACTGTTAACTACACTGTCTGCTATACTAACCATCTAAAATGATAACTACACTGCCTACTATACTAACCATCTACACTGCTAACTACACTGCGTACTATACTAACCATCTACACTGTTAACTACATTGTCTGCTATGCTAACCATCTACAATGTTAACTACACGGCCTACTATACTAACCATCTACAATGTTAACTACACTGCCTACTATACTAACCATCTACAATGTTAACTACACTGCCTGCTATACTAACCATCTACACTGTTAACTACACTGTCTGCTATGCTAACCATCTACAATGTTAACTACACGGCCTACTATACTAACCATCTACAATGTTAACTACACTGCCTACTATACTAACCATCTACAATGTTAACTACACGGCCTACTATACTAACCATCTACAATGTTAACTACACTGCCTGCTATACTAACCATCTACACTGTTAACTACACTGCCTGTTATACTAACCATCTACACTATTAATTACACTTTCTGGTATAATGAATATCTACATTATTAACTTCACTATTACTAAAACTGCTGCACTACAATACTGACCAGACTGCGTGCACCACAAACAATATTTAGTGTCTGCCATGTTCGTCAACTGTACCAGTAGATAGTATGGGAATACTGACAACTTTTAGTTGATAAAAGACACGCAGTTTATCCCACACAACTTTATGAGACTTGATAAAGACTTGATAAAGCTTAAAACAATGTTTCGCTATGGAAGCGAAATATTGTTTTAATAAAGTATTCAATTATTATGTGTGTCTTTATCAACTACAGAATTTATGTAGTTAGGTAAGACTCGTATGCAACAGTTAGGTATCTTTATTTCGAACTTTTCGCCTACACAGTAGGCTTCTTCAGTCGAGTACAGAAAAGTTGGTAGAAGCAGAAGAGATGTGAAGACGATGTAATCAGTCCATCACCCTTGAAGACGTAAGTTTTGAGGTGGTCGACCACCTCATAGATGAGCGTAAAGATATCAAGTGAATGTCAACAGTCACCTGCATGTTACTGTTATATGTAGACTTCCTCAGCCGCATGGTAGTATGTACGAAATAATAGGCACGGTGTTACCTACTTGATAGTATGTACTTAGGTGTGTGGTAGTATATATGAAATATAGAAGTAAGATTAGGGACAAGATAAGCTCACTTAAAAATAACTCAGATCAGATCACTGACAGTGATAAGGAAATGCGTGAAATTTTTAACTCTTATTTCCTCTCAGTTTTTGTGTAGGAAGATACAAGTGACATGATCCTCAGACATATAGAGAAATTAACATCGAACAAATCTCCAGGCCCCGATGAACTGTTTGCAAGGGTTTTAAAGGGATGTAAAGAGGAGGTTAGCATACTTTTGGCTAATCTTTTCAATATATCACTACAAACTGGCATAGTCCCAGATAAGTGGAAAATGGCAAATGTAATGTGTATTTACAGAGCAGGAGACAGGTCCTTAGCTTCGAATTATAGACCAATAAGCCTTACCTCCATAGTGCGAAAATTTATGGAATCAATAATTGCCGATGCAATTCGTAGTCATCTTGAAAGGCATAAATTGATTAATGAATCTAAACACGGTTTTACAAAGGCGCGTTCCTGTCTTACGAATTTACTGACTTTTTTCACCAAAGCATTTGAGGAGGTAGATCATGGTAATGAATATGATTTTGAGTGTATGGACTTCAGTAAGACTTTCGATAGAGTTCCACATCAGAGGCTACTGAGGAAAATTAAGGCACACGGAATAGGAGACAGTTTTTCCTGGGTAGAGGCATGGTTAAGAGGCAGCAGAGAGTTTGCATCAATGGGGAGAAATCAGAGTGGGGGCGCGTCACTAGTGCCATTCCACAGGGGTCAGTGTTGGGCCCTTTGTTGTTCACAGTTTATATAAACGACATAGATGAGGGAATAAATAGCGACATAAGCAAGTTTGCTGATGACATCAAAATAGGTCACCTAATTCATTCTAATGAGGACATTAGAGCACTCCAGGAAGATTTAAATAGACTGAAGCAGTGCTCGGAGAAGTGGCAGATGCAGTTTAATATAGACAAATGCAAAGTTCTAAACATTGGACAAGAAAATAACCATGCCACATATAAACTAAATAATGCCACATATAAACTAAATATTACTGATTGTGAAAAGGATTTGGGAGTTCTGGTTAGCAGTAATCTAAAACCAAGACAACAGTGCAAAGGTGTTAGCAATAAAGTGAACAGATTCTTTGGCTTCAACTCTATATATCTTTGGTTAGGCCTCATTTAGATTACGCTGCACAGTTCTGGTCACCGTATTACAGAATGGATGTAAATGCATATTTTACCTTTAATATAAGTTTACTCCCGAATCCGTGCTTGAGGCCCATACGACACGAGGGCCCTGAATCTGCACTCTCCAGAAAGGTGTAGAATTAGGGGGATATGATTGAGGTGTATAAATGGAAAACAGGAATAAAGGGAATGTAAATAGCATGCTAAAAATATCTAGCCTAGACAGGACTCGCAGCAGTGGTTTTAAGTTGGAAAAATTAAGATTCAGGAAGGATATAGGAAAGCACTGGTTTGGTAATAGAGTTGTTGATGAGTGGAACAAACTCCTGAGTAACGTCAGCTAACACGTTTTGTAGTTTTCAAAATAGGTTAGATAAATACATGAGTGGGTGAGAGCTGGATCTGACTAGCTTGTGCCAATAGGTCTGATGTTGTACCCCTTCCTTAAGTGGATGTGACCATACCTGACTAGGTGGATCGTTTTTCTAAGCCAGGAGGTGACTCGGACTTGCCTCGCATGGGCCAGTAGGCCTGTTGCAATGTTCCTTCTTTCTTATGTTCTTAAATACTAGTCATAGTGACATACTTATCTGCATGGCAGTATAGACGGGACACAGCATAGTGATGTGAATCTCCTTGAAGTCTCTACTGGTTCCACCACTCTGTGCCTCCTCACCTTTTCGACAACAGTCTTAGTCAGCTATATCTGCCCACCACCACCATCCCTGTCGTAACAACACCACCCCTGTCGTAACAACGCCTTCCCTGTCATAACATTGCCCCATATCACGTGACCTACCGTTCTCGCGTCACTCTACCAAGTTCATGTTTTCCATAGCCAGCAATTTAAAGAAAAATAACTAAACATATAAAATTTGTTTCAGTAATGCACCATAATAGTTACCTTTCTCTATGAACTGGTTATTTTCTTTTGCTGTTAATGTTGCCTCTTAAGCTTCTAGATTACGAGGATGGTCACGTACCTTCACAGTGTTAAGCAGAAACAATGTTTCAGATAAGACAAGTGTTGCGGACGGCCGTGCTGGAGCCTAGCTTACTAGCACGATCCAACCACTGCACACCTCTCACTATCAGTTTTTTTCCACAAATGATTCTAAATATTTTGAGGGCTTGCGTCGAGCTTCACCTGCAGTGTGGACCACAGCAGACGAGGCAACCGTAATTTTCAATAATGGCCACGCATATTTCGATATCAGGCGTGTGTGTAATGTCCCATGGAGAATTTTACCAATTTGGTTTCCAAATCTTGGGCATGAAGCAGCCTTGAACATGTTACACAAACTTATGTAAAAGAAATTAAACAACAGACTACAGGAGCTCAAACGAGGCTATTTAAAGATGAATGAAGAAAGGATGGAAGCTTGCACAGGTTGTTTACATCTTATAATAAGTTATACTCATTTTCTCAGCTTAGTTACCTGTACCCAAACAACCTCAAAACAAATAAATAATTACACATCTATCATTAAAAGAATATTTGGAGATGGTTTCGGGGATCAACGCCCCCGCAGCCCGGTCTGTGACCTGTCCTCGTGGTGGATCAGGGCCTGATCAACCACGCTGTTACTGATGGCCGCACTCAAACCGACGTACGAACCACAGTCCGAGCAATTGCAGTTGATGGTTGCCGCTTTGCACTGATAATAAAACAAGCGGTTATAAGTTCGGTGGTGACACTAAATTACAAAAACAGCAAGAAAATTCATCGACATACTGCAGACTACGAGCCGATATCTGACTCACTGTGTGTACTTAACTGGACCCGCCTCTTCACTGGCCGCTCTCTCCCTGCTGTAAGAGCTTTGTCGTACCTATCCTTAAAGCTATGAATGGATACTTCCTCCACTACATCACTCGCAGATTGTTTCACTTCCTGACAACTTTAGTGCTGAAGAAATATTTCCTAATATCCCTGTGACTCATCTGAGTTTTCAGTTTTCAGTTGTGACTTCTTGTTGCTGTGTCACATCTCTTGACATCCTGTCCCTTTCCACCTTGTAAATTCCTCTCAGTATTTTATACGTCGTTATCATGTTTCCCCCTAACCCT